GTATGTATGTATGTATGCATATACACATAGATGTATGCACATATGCATGCATGTCTCTGTCTGTGTGAATGTATATAGATAGATAGATAGATAGATAGATAAATAGATAGATAGATAGATAGATAGATAGATACAGGGTCTTTTGGGGGTATGCTATAGTATATAATAGTATATTTGTAACCAGGAGACCTAAGGAATATCACTACTGACTATTCAGGCTTCTATCTTACTGTAGGTCCCGAGAAAATAGACCAGCCCACAAGACTCCCCCCGAGCACCACCTCATCGCCTTTTCAGAGTAGAAACAGCAGTCAGCAGTGCTTCCCACGGACATGTTTAGGGTTTAGGGTTGAGGGATGATCGTTTAGGGGAGGGAGTTCAGTTGACATGGGGGCTCAGGCGCGACAAGACGCTTGGCACAAGAAAATGCCCGAAGGGTGTGAACAATAATTGCAATAAACAGCTCATCATCACCACCAGAGCCAGCACAACCACCAGCGTACATAACCATCAACATCATCATATCCATCATCATCGGCATCATCATACCATCGTCATCCAACAACAAATGACACGATTCACTAAGTGCCAGGGTGCTTGGGGTGAAGCTGCCGCACTAACTTGCAGAAGCCGCTTTTCACGAAGATTACCCGGTCCACCTGCGCAGGGCGAACATACTTTTGCAAACCGAAGTATCTGAACAGGATTGGTGTAGGGTTCAGCGTTTAGGTTTGCTTTTTGTTTTGAAGGTGGCCACAGTATAGCTGTCATAAAGTTCTATAATGAGGAACCCTCAGGAGAATAGGAGTTTCAGGATAGAGGGACCTATAAGGGTAGCCAAAAGGTTGCTAAGAAAATCATGGTTCTAGATAATGAAGCTGCCCGGAACACCCCAATATGCGCACGCACTCGCACATTTGCCCTGACGCCCTCATGCCTAATTTCTGAAGCCTCAACTCCACCCTGAAAACCAACTTCAACTCTAGTCATCTCCATGTGGTAGTTCTGAAAAATGGTCCCTTGTGTAGGGTCCTTTTATAGTAGTATTTTAAAAAGGGGACCCGAATTTAGAGAACTACCCATGCCCTTACAGTAAACCTATAGAAACCCTGATAAATCCCTGAACCCTAAACCCTACAGAAACCCTTATAGATCCCTTTAAGGAGCCGCCTGAAAAGGGTATAATATACTGTAACTATATTGTACTATGATATACTTTAAATATACTGCAGTATCCCTAAACCCTAAACCCTATAGTATAATCATGTTAGCCCAAGGCCTCCGCACCCTGCTGCAGGATCTCGTGCTCTCCGACGTAGCTTTTCTCCGTGAGGTTGCCGGCCATGGCCTGCTGGGACTGTAGGGCTTCCAGGGCTTAAGGGTTTAGGGTTTAGGGCTTTAGGGTTTTCGGATTTAGGGTTTAGGGTTTGGGGTTTAGGGTTTAGGGTTTTAGGGTTTTAGGATTTAGGGTTTAGGGTTTGGGGATTAGGGTTTAGGGTGTTAAGGGTTTCGGGTTTTAAGGGTTTCGGGTTTAGAGTTTAGGGTGGCCTGCTAGGACTGCAGTACTTTCCGTGTAGTAATAGTAGTAGCAATAGTAGTAGTCGTGGTAGTAGTGGCAGTACTAGTAGTAGTCGTAGTCGTAGTCGTGG